TTGTACTTTGGATGTAAGAAAATGTTGAGCTGATAGGAAGCTACAATAAAGTGGAGGATAGATTAATTGCATTTTCTGCGAATTTTTTTCAAAATGAAATGTAAACAAACAGTGCTTTGTAACGAGGAAATCATATTATCACCTTAAATGGTAACATATGTTCTGATAAATTAAATAAAACACTATTCAGCCCACATTTTAAAATAAACATGGTTCAATATTTTAAAAGTAAATCGAACACTCATGTAATATGCTAGTACAATGTTTTGCTGCTCCATAGTTTCGTGCACTTGATTCTTTGCCTGAATAGTACAAGAAAATGATTGTAACAAAATGAAAAACCTTTAAAACAAAACAGAAACAGGGGTATCAGGAGTGAGAGTATTACACCAAAACTCTTCTTACCACTACCCCTCTCCCCCACCCAACACCCGCGTTAGTTATAAATTAAAAGATCAGGAATACATTTCAAGAAAAGGGCTTCAGTTTGACAAAATGCAACGATCAGAGCAATTCAAAATGGAGAGCAAACAACAAAATCAAACAGCTCTGGGCAGTGCAAAATTATTGCTTTGTTTAACTGTATAATTCTTTAATCACATGGCTCTCTTCATATAGTTTGAATCACAAATTAATAATTTGTTATTATTTGAACAGTAAATAAATTTCATCCACCAGATAGGGCAATTATTTTTCTGTAATACAGAACAACACAATTTTTATTCAAATGTTCAGCACAATATTTAAGTGTCATTGCAATACCCAACTAACAATGGGTAACTGTGTATTCCAACTATAATATAATTTATTTAGATTAGTTGCGATCACATTGCCTGTTAAAATTATTGTATTTTAATTCCGTACCCAGCTGCATGGATGAGTTTCCTTAGGAGAAATACCTAACCTTCTAAATTTTATTTATTTTGTTGAATGTTAATGACAACTGTATTTCATTCGTACATTACAGCTATTCTCTAGTGTGTCTATCTTTAGTATGATTGCCTTCCTACATGCAAGAAGAGATATAGCTGCCAGGGGGTCACAAGATTATAATTCAATAAAATCGCAAACTGAGATGAAGGTATCAGTGAGTTATGAACATTAGTAAAATCCTCAATCCTCACAGTAATGAATTTGGCTGTACCCATTAATAATGTCACAGATACATAACAAATAGGAGTTTAAATTTTTTAGGGGTCATTTTAATATCATTCTCATCCATTTTGAATAATCAAATGCTCCAATAGCAAAATGATTAAATAATTAAAGAATACTGCTCCAAAATAAGATGCTACCATTAAAAGAAATCTGATTAGATTGAGTAAATGGGATAGAAAATGATCAACGGTGCTTTCCTGAACCTAGCTACAGATCTTGCAGAAAATAAACAGTAGCTAGTTCCCACAACAGAAGTAGCAAAGTCATTTTCATCACAATGAGAGGCAGGAAACTACTATTGGTTCTTTATTTGCACATCTCTTTCATTTTTTACATAAACACAGAAAATGAGTCTTGGCTTTATTCAGATTATTCCTGCAATTTTATAGAATTTAAGTGTCACAGGAAAAGGAGAAGACTCAATTAGTTGCAGGCATTCTTGTACAGGCTTAAAAATAACTTGACTTCTAGATGTATTAATCTGAATTTCTGAAGAACAGCAATTTTGTTTGAAATGTTTCCTGTTTTTAGTTGTGCGTATGTATATATAGATGTTGGGAGCAATAAAACATTCATAGACTGTTTTCAAAATGTTGAGCAATAACCAATTTTTAAAATTCTTTTTAGTTTAGGTTAGAATAGTCTCATTTTGCTGGCAATGTAATCATTAATATTTTAAATCTAACTAAGATTCAAATAATAGAAGAAATATGTGAATGATATCAAGATTAACACTAAAAGTCTTTACAGTTACATAAAAAGAGAAATCCCTCAGTTGCTGTAAAATATAAACTCATGTCTCCAGAGTATGAATCAAGACCTTTGGATTACCAGTCCTGTAATTTAATCACTATGCTGTTGTTAACATGTAATATATGAAAGGGTAGATGATGTCTAATTAAGCTAATTGGATTAGTGACTAAACAATGTTGCTAATTATTGATGTAATTTGCATGGACGTTTAGAAAGCATTCAATAAAATTTTGTAATAGGCTGTTAGTTAAAATGAAAGCTCGTGGAATTGGAGGCAAACTATAGACTTTTGTTCTGGGCAGGAGATTGGTTAGGTGATAGAAAACAGACAGTAGGATAACAGCTATGCATTCAGTTTGGAATTGAGTGAAGAATGGTGTCACACAAGGATCTGTGCCAGAACCTCAACTATTCATAACATTTATTAATGACTTAAAAAATTAACAGCAATACATCCAAGTTTGTCAATGGCCCAAGGAATGGTGATATACAATAAGGTGTGTAGATGGGAGTGTGTAGTTGGGTGTCAGTTAGCTCAATTCGCTGGATGGCTGGTTTGCAATGCAGAGTGATGCCAACAGTGCAGGTTCACACTCTTTTTGGGCTGAGATCACCATGAAGGTCCTGCCTTCTCAACCTTGCCCCTCCCTGAAGCACGGTGACCCTCAGGTTAAACTCACCTCCAGTTGTATCTCTCTGAGACAGCAGTCCTCTGGGACAATGGTGATTTTACTGGATGGGCACATAAAATTACAAAAAACTATTGCTTGCTACATTTTGGAGTCCATGCTTATAGATAATTAATACATTGTACTAACAAAGAAAAAAACTAATCAAAAGGCTTATGGAATGTTAAAATTTATAACTAGAGACCTAGTTTATACCAGGGAGATGCCAAACTAATGATATACAAAATACTGATTGGAAAAAATCTGGAATACAATGCTAGGCAATGTGATTTAGAAAGGACATTTTGGCCTTTAGAAATGTCAAGCACAGATTCATTAAATTGTTACCTGAGGATTAAATTCTAAGGAGAAATTAAATAAGTAGGTCTTATTTCGCTGTATTATAATTTAAAGGATGATGTAGTTTAGTTTTTTTTAAGATCTTGAAGAGAATAGATAGGAGAATGTGATGGCCAAGCGGTATTATCGCTGGACTGTTAATCTAGAGACCCAGGTAATGTTCTAGGGGCTTGGGTTTGAATTATGTCATGCCATCCTTACCTGGTCTGGCCTACATGTGACTCCAGACCACGGCAATATGACTGACTCTTAACTGCCCACTTGGCAATTAGGATGGGCACTAAATGCTGGCTTGGCCAGTGATGCCCACATCCTGTGAATAAACAAAAAAAAGAGAAAAACTTTTTCCATTGATTGTGTTGTCTAGGATAAGAATGCATAATCCTAAATCACAGCCAGGCTATCTGGGAAGAGAGTTAAGAAAAACATGTTTCTCACAACTTGTGGTAGAAATGTTGCAATCCCATCCACATAAAGCTGTAATTGTTGGCCCAATTATTCATTTTAAATCCAGAGATCTGTAGATTTTTATTAGAATGGGGTATAATAGGTTAGGCATTAAGGTAGTCAGATGGAAGTGAAATACAGATCAAGATGATCTAATTGAATGGCAGGACAAATTTAAGGAGTTGAATGGCCTACACCGTATTGAAACAGTAACTATGAGCAATCAGGATAAGTGTGTAATAAAATTAGAACAATTTTAAAAGTAATTTGATTTTTCATTTAAAATAGCAGTGAGGCCAATGTTGCTCACCATTATTTGTAACTGGCACAGCAATTTCAGGTGAGGGACAGATGTACGTTGAAACATCAGTATCCAAAAGTACCTGTCTGAGTTGTGCTGATTTACAAACATAACATCCTTCTGACTGCCTCAACATGATGAAGTTGTCCTACTTAAAGGTTAGAATGGAACTAAACTCGCTATAGAAAATTAACTGTTGTTACTTCACATGTAAACACACTTTTAATTATATGCTACGTGTTAATAAGAGAGGATGGTTAATAGACAACTAGCATGCAGATTATATTAATGACAACAACACAGGATTCAATCACCATTCCAGCTAAGATAAACTCTGGGCATGTAGCTTTGCCTCACAAATAGTAAAAGAACCAAGCCACTTAGCTGTGATTGAGAGAACAACCAACAAGGTCGTTCATTTGGGCAGACCCTGAAGAATTGTTAATATCAGCCAACTTCTGTAGAACCGAAAATGAATTATCCTTTCAGGTGTTAATTGTTATTGGAGATTATAAAAATGTAGAATTTTAAACCAAGTCTGTTTTTTTTAAACTTCTCTTTTGGGTTTATCTGTCTCAATCTAATATTTCTCACGTTCTCTTTCCGCATTTGATATGACATTAATTTCACCCCCTCTAATTTAAACTTCCTTCTAGTCCTTTAGTCTAATTGAATAAAGAAATATGCAGAGCTTAGCTGTTACTCAGTTCAGCCCAGTTTTCCCTCAGGACAATATTATCTGTTTTCATTTTCAGCAACTTGTCATGCATAGATACTTAAAAACCTAAAGTTACAATGGCAAGTCTAGCAGCAGACACCGTTTGGTGCACTGCTACAGCAAAATCTGAACCAATGTAATTCTTAGACTGTAAAGATGCATTAGGAAACATTGGAATATTATGTAAGTGATTTTTATGGGGTATATGGATATAAAAGTAAACAACAAATGTCCTGTTAAAAGCAAACAAAACATGCAAAGACTCATCAATAATAACTTCTCTGTCACTTCCTCTTCTTTGATTTTACATTATTTGTGGTTGAATAACAAATGTGAAACTGAGAAGCAGATTTGTCTGGGGGAATTGCATTTCCATCCTGAACAAATTAAGGGGCTAATAGATACAGAACTGAAGTGATCTCAGAAGATTATAACTTCAGTGCAACAAGTCCACAAGCATTTTCCAATACGATTGTAGACACAGAAATTTATCATTAAAGTTGACACAGGTGTGTGACAAAAACAGAACAGCTGCAACGTTTTTAATTTATAGACATTTCTAAATAGAAGTTCATTTTGTAATATCAGAGCTTGTTTCAATGGTAGTCAAGTGGAAATCACAAATGGTAGGAGAATTCATATATTTATAGTCTAAAATTTAGGGTTAATTGAGCACCTTTATACTGTCAGAATAAGAATCAGACCAGCCCCAACACTTCACTCTGTATTTTGACACAAATGATCAACAAAAATAAATTAATAATGTAATATAAAGACTTAAAGTGTTGAAATTAATTAAGATTTTGAAATTGATTCATTTTGAAAACACAGAGATAATCCCATTTTAAAGTACACATTCATCTGTAAAATAGCAAACATTGACAAACCAGATTGCTACTGCACATTTTGTGACATGCTCATGAAATGTCTACATAAATTAAATTGAAAATTGTTATTTTTCGGAGTGATGAAAGATTTTTAGAGGAGTAAAATTAAGCTTTTATTAGGTTATAAGTATTCTACACTGAAGACACATCATGCATTATGAGTCACTTACAGGCACAACATCATGCTTCACTGGAATGTACCTTTGCCATCAACAGCCATCTGATAACAAAGCTCCTTCTCAAGTGATTGACACCAATCACTGCCATATAACCATGTTTTCAAAGTCAAGCCTTTGTTCTTCACCATTTAAGAAATATAATTCATTTGTATTATTAACCCAAAAGAATTTATTGGTTTCAGCTTGTGTTCCCCAATTACAATTTTTCCATTAAGTAGGAGATAACTCTTATTTGTATTAACAAGTGTGAAGATTCAGTTCTTGACTAATTGTCTGAGAATAATGATCAACTCCGACTCTTTTAAAGCAGAGCAGTTTGGTTCCATTAAATTGGCCCATATCTAACATTCCTCCTCATTTTAGGATCTTGCTGCAGTTATACCAATTACATTTCATCACAAAGTAATTACTCTTAAATTATATTAGGGAAATACAACGAGCAAAGTAATGTATTTTGTCCAAATGCTGGAAAACGTCGGAATGCTTCCCACATATCTGAAAATAGACTATACTTGAGGAATACACGATGTTCAAGGCTGGTTGTTGGTGCAATATCTCTGCTAATAATGTAGATCCCATCATTGTGCAATGTACAAGTCAAATTTAGTCCAGATTTTGAAGTGTTTTCCTTGAGGTGGAGCCATTCCCTAGTGTTCACATTGTAGGACTGAATCGTAAGCATATCTTCAGTATGGCTTCCTTTTCTACTTCCATCTTTCTCATGGATGCAGCCACCCACAAGATAAATTATATCTTCCACAGACACCATTTGTTGTTTACGAATATGAAGCTCACAGGATTCTAATACAGTCCAAGCATCTGAGGTAGGGCAGTATCGCAAAATGTTCATATTTCTACCTGAAATTACAAGTGTTTTTAGTTAATTTAAAACAAGGCTAACATTTTAAACATCGATAGCATCACAAAACCAATACCAGAACACTGTCAAAGTTGGGAAATTTAATTCAAGCATGTAGTCTCATTTTCCAAGCAGTAAACCTTCTCAATGACAAAACCAAAATATAGAAAAATGCTGAATATAATTAGTACAAAGTGGACCATTATTGCAACAGACTAGATTGGCAATTGAATGAGTTCAGTGTTGTGTAGGCATATCCTGATACTTGTGTTATCTATCACAGTATCCAAAATGCAGCTCAGCAGTTTATTGTTCACATGTGCTGATCATAATGTAATTCTCCACATTATAGACATGACAGAAATGGCATATTATTAAGTCATGACAAGTCAGGCATGCACGGACATGAGAACTGGACATCACATTAGATCAGATGTAAACTTAAAAATTATTATTAATTCCTTAATTTATTCTTATTCATTCAGAGGATATGGACTTCACTGGTTAAACGAGCATTTATTGTCGATCACTAGTTGCTCTTGGGAAGGTGGTGGTGAGCAGCATTCTTGAGCCGCTGCAGTCCATGTGCTGGAGGTAGACCATATGCAGTTTGGGAGGGAATTTCAGGATTTTGACCCAGTGACAGTGAAGGAACAGAAATATATTTTCAAGTCATGATGGCGAGTGACTTAGTTGTGGGGGGGTGGTGGATCTTGCAGGTGGTGGTGTTCCCCAATGAATCTGTTGACCTTGTCCTTCTAGATAGTAATGGTCGTGGGTTTGGAAGGTGCTGTCTAAGGAGCCTTGTCAAATTTTTGCAGTGCATCTTGGAGATTATACTAGATGCTGCTATTAATTGTCAGCTGGGGAAGACAGTGAATGTTTGTGGATGTGGAACCAATCAAGTGGGCTGCTGTGTTTGGAGGGTGCGAAGCTTCTTGAGTGTTGTTGGAGCTGCTCGTCCAGGAGATCATTCCATCACACTCTTGACTTGTGCCTTGTAGATGGTGGAAAGGCAAAGGCAGATAAGCAAATTGCTGCAGGATTCCTAGTCTCTAAACAGCTGTTGTAGCCACAGTATTTATATGGCTGGTCCAGTTCAGTTTCTGATCAATGATAAGCCCCAGTATGTTGATAGAATTGTATTCAGTGATGGTAATGTCATTGACTGTCAAGGAACAAGGGTTAGATTCTCTCTTGCTGAAGGTGGCCTGTGCCTGGCACTTTTGCAACACTTCTCACTGCAAACCTGGATATTGTCCATGTCATGCTGCATTTGGACATGCATTGCTTCAATATCTGAGGAGTTGCAAATACTGCTGAACATTGTGCAGTCACCAGCAAACGTTCCCCCACCTCGTTCTGACCTTATGATGGTGGGTGGGGTGGGGGGGGTGGAGAGGTAGTGGGGGTACATTGATGAAGCAGCAGAAGATGGTTGGATCTAAGGTATTATGCTGATGAATTCCAGCAGAGATGTCTTGGAGCTGAGGTGATTGACTTTCAACAACTACAACAATCTCCCTTCTGTCAGGTATGACACCAATCTATGGAGAGTTTCCTCCATGATTCCCATCAACTGCAGTCTTGATAGGGCTCCTTGTTGCCACATTTAGTTAAATGTAGCCTTGATGCCAAGATCAATGGGGGTGGCATGGTGGCTCAGTGGTTAGCACTGTTGCCTCACAGTGCCAGGGACCCGGGTTTGATTCCATGCTTGGACGACTGTCTGTGTGGAGTTTGCACATACCCCCCGTGTCTGCATTGGGTTTCCCCCAGGTGGTCCGAGTTTCCTCCCACAGTCCAAAGATGTGCAGGGTAGGTGGATTGGCCATGCTAAATTGCCCATAGTGTCCAGAGATGTGTAGATTAGGTGGGTTAAAGGGGGATGGGTCTGGGAGGGATGTTCTGAGGGTCAGCATGGACTTGTTGGGCCGAAGGGCCTGTTTCCACACTGTAGGGAGTCTATGATCTATGGTCAGCCACTCTCACTTCTCCTCTGGAATTCAGCTCCTTTGTCTATAGTTGAACCAAGGCCATAATGAGTTCAGGAGCTGAGTGGCACTTGCAGAACCCAAGCTGAGCATCAGTGAGCTTGTTATTGCTAAATAACTGCTGCTCGATGGCTGTTGATGACATCTTTCATCCCTTTAATGATGATCAAGAGTAGACCGATGTGGCGGTAGTTGACTGGATTAGATTTGTCCTGCTTTTTATGTACAGAGCGTACCTGGGCAATTTTCCACATTATCAAGTAAATACCAATGTTGCAGCTGTACTGAAAACAGCTTGGCTAGGACTGCTGCAGGTTCTGGAGCATCAGTCTTGTGCTACTTCCAAAATAAAGTCAGGGCACCATAGCCATTTTAGTATGCAGTGCCTCCAACTGTTTCTAGCTATACTGTGGAGTGAATCAAATTGGCTGAAGGTACTGAGGAAGGGTCACTGGACCCAAAACGTTAACTCTGATTTTTTCTTCACAGATGCTGCCAGACCTTCTGAGCTTTTCCAGCAACTTCTGCTTTTGTGGCTGAAGATTGGCATGTGTGATACTGGGGATTTCTGGAAGATGCCAAGATGGATCATCCACTTGGCACTACTGGCTGAAGATTGTTACAAATGTGGCAGCCTTTCCTTATGTACTGATGTGCTGCGATCCTCATCTTTAAGGATGGGAATATTTGCAGTACCTCTTCCTGTTTTGAATTATTTAATTGTCCACCACCGTTCATGACTGGATGCGATATGTCTGCAGAACTTAGATCTGATTAGCTGGTTGTGGAGTCACTAAGCTCTGTTAATCAATTGTTGCTAATGCTGTTTGGCATGCAAGTAGCCCTGTTTTGTAGCTTCTGAAGATTAACCCCTCATCTTTAAGAATGCTCTCCTGCATTTTTCATTGAACCAGGGTTGATCCCGTGGCTTGACCATAGAATTGGGTATATTTTTCCTTCTTGTTGGTTCCCGCACCAACTGCCACAGATGCAGTCTAGCAGCTATGTTCTTTAAGACTCGACCAGCTTGGTCAATAGTGGTGCTGCTGAGCCACTCCTGGTGATGTCTCCTACCCCAGAGTACATTCTACACTCTTACCACTTTTGGTGCTTCCTCCAAATGGTGTTAAACATGGAGGAGTATTGATTCATCAGCTGAGGGCAACAGTATGTGGTAATCAGCAGGAGGTTTCCTTTCTTATGTTTGACCTCGGAAGCCTGGAGTCAATGTTCAGAACTGATACAGCAATTCCCTCCTGACCACTGTGTCGTAACCTCTGCTGATGAGACAGGATGTATCCAGGGACACGATGGTATTGTGTTGGAGATTGTGTGTAAGGTATGATTCCATGAGTATGACCATGCCAAACAATTGCCTCTCCAAAGACAGCTCTTCTAATTTTGGCAGTAGCCCCAGATATTAGTGAGGAGGACTTTACAAGATTGACTTTACAGGATTGTGTTTGCCATTATTGTTTCTGGTGCCTGAGTTGATGGCAGGCGGACCATAATTTTCATTTCTCTTTTTCCTTTCTAATGGTTGATACAATTGCTGAATTATCTCAATCAATCACACTGTTGATGGTCTGGGGTCATATGTAGGCTAGACCAGGAATGCCAGCTTCCTTCCCTAAAGAGCATTAGAGAACCAGATAGATTTTAGATGACAGTCAACAATGGTTTTGAGGTTATCATTAGACTTTTAATTCGAGTGTTTTCTTTTATTGAATTCAAACCTCACCAACTGCCATGGTGGGATTCGAATTTGAGTATCTGAAACATTACACAGGTCTCTGGATTACTTGTGTAGTGCTAATAGCACTAGTCCACCGCTTTCTGGTGCTGTCACCTTTCTTTCAGTTTGTTCAAGAAATTATCTCAAAAGAATAGTTTGAGAAATTGAAACTTACAGCCTCTTACTCAGTACACCCTCTGTAGCTGGTGTAGAGTTCCTGCAACAAAATCAAATCTCATCAAAAAGGGAAGAAAAGTTGGATCGATGATCATCCTGGCCAGCTTATCTAATGACTTAGAATAGCTAATTGATAATAACTGGGAACCAGTGAATTGCAGCTGGTATAAATGCCAAGAAAAATGTGAGGGATTTACTTTCCTGGTAACAATGAGTTAGGATTAGAGTTAAGAATGTCAGTTAGTAGTTTCGATAAGGAAATAAACTAGTATTGAAGCTACTCGACTAATGTTGCATTTTTTTTAATTCCAAGAAATACTGTTTTGAAAACTTGGTTACTCAAATTTTACAGTTTTTAAACTCATATTGCCATGGTTCAATTTTGTTAAAATCTGTTCTGTAACTCTGTGGTGTTACATGTTAATACAATACACAGAGTGCCAGCAGGCCTTGCCCAGGATCCCCTCCAGCTTTCCTTTCCTGTCTGTACAAAATTACCAAACCTTCATTCACACCAATGAAACTGAGACCAGGAACTCAAGATTAAAGAAAGTAAAATATTGCCATTGCTAGGGTGGCACTTGTCAATGTACAAATAGATCATCCAGATATGTATATATATGCTTAAGCAAACGGAAAACAAATATCCTTTAAAACATAGAACAAAAAAAACGCAACTCACCTCGAGTTGTGTATCCACCCATTACATAGATCATCCCTTTGCATTCACAGGCTGAAAATTCCACAAGAGGATCTGGCATTGAAGCTACAAAACTCCACCAATCCATCTCTGGATTGTAACATTCAACATTGCAAAGGGACTGACCACCAACTGCATACAATTTCTCACTTACAGCTAGAAGTTTAAAATTCGATCTGAAGAGAGAGAAGTATATTAACAGTACAAAATATTCAAATCTTGTACTTTTCGAAACCACTTACAGTTTTGATAGGATCTTATAAATTACAGCCAATTTTTGACAAAAATATACTTTATCCTCAGAAGTAAGTAACTTACTGCTAGGTAATAGAATATACTCCATTTTTAGCTGTCCATTCCCAGCACCAAAAATTCCCAGTTCAGGTGCAGCAGCGTTAGATACATAAAAAGGCTTTCCTCTGTCTCAACAGTGTACCCTATCCCCAACCTCTACAGAACTAGTGCAGCATTTTCCGTAACCCACAGTGACCTCTCTAAGTGACAGTGACAATTAATGCTGAAATTTGGACAATTTTGGACTTTGGGCAAAGAAATGGTAGCTTGGGACTGGCAATAATGCATTTCATATTCAAGATTTAATGCCTGCAGACAGGACAGTAGGATCTTGTCAAGAAAGATTTAATTCAGATATAGGTTTTAGAGTCTGATTATAAAACCATACTGAAAACTACCATGTTACTAGAATTAAAATACAGAAGATACTACGTAAAAACAGTCTATTATTTAAATGAAGACAGAGTTCGGAGTTCTGAGTGTACAGGTACAACCAGTAATTAGTAAAAAATTGAAAGATTGAAAGGGAGGCAAGTGAAGACTAAGTTTCAGCTGGTGAAAATAAACAAGGTGGGGCTGAGAAGTGAAGACAGGGTATAAGTAGTTGCAGAACTAAACAAAACATAGACTCAGCTTGCAGAGAATGAATGCCTGAACAGACGCTCTTTAAATATGGACCTTTGGTCCCATGAAGAAACAATAAGGGTGTCAGTTTCATGCTCATTCCAACACAGCCTCCTTGTACTTGGATATCTAACTAGTTATAGAGTCAGAGTCACACAACATGGAAACAGACCCTTTAGTCCAACTCGTCCATGCCAACCAAGTTTCCCAAACTGAACTGGTCCCACTTGCCTGTGTTTCGCCCATATCCCTCTAAACATTTCCTATTCATGCACCTATCCAAATGTATTTTAAATATTGTAACTATACCTGCATCTACCACTTCACCTGGCAGTTCATTCCATATACGAACCACCCTCCATGTGAAAAGGTTGCCCCTCAGGTCCCTTTTAAATCTTTGTCCTCTCACCTTAAAAATATGTCTTCTAGTTTTGAACTCACCCAGCCTAGGGAAAAGACCTTTGTTATTCATTTTATCTATGCCCCTCATGATTTTAAAACTTTCTATAACGTCACCCCTAAAACTCCTACACTCCAGTTAAAAAAGTCCCAACCTATCCTTATAACTCAAATCCTCCAGTCCCGGCAACATCCTAGTAAATCTTTTCTGAACCCTCTACAAATTAATAATATGCTTCCCATAGCAGGGCTATCAGAGTTGTGCACAGGACTCCAAAAGTGGCCTCACCAACATTCTGCACAACCTCAACATGCCATCCTGCCCACACGTGAAAGTGACAATCCTTTCCAATCCTCTTTTTAAACTCATTCATGGGATATGGATATCACTGGCTGATCAGCGTTAATTGCCCAGCCTTGGTTACCCTTGGGAAGATGGTGGTGAGTTGCCTTCTTTAATCACTGCAGTCCATTTGCTGGAGGTAGGCCCTTAATGCCATTAAAACTTCTACTCCAAAATGAAAGAATCCACCCTACATCTGAGGGACTACATACAGTTTTGGTCTCCTTACTTAATAAAGTATATACTTGCAGCAGGATCTGTTTAAAAGACACTAAGTGAAGAATTTTGGGATGAAGGGATTATTTTATGGGAAAGTATGGATAGGGCAGATCTTTTTTTTTGGAGTTGAGATGAATGAAAAGTAGTTTTACTGCAATATATAAGATCCTGAGGGGACTTGACAGGATGGCTGCTGAGTGGGTGTTTCCCCTTATGGAAAAAACTAGAACTAGGGGACACAGTTCAGAAATAAGGGGTCTCCTCAATTAAAGACAGAGATTAGGAGATTTTCTTTCTCTCTTAAAGCGTTTTTAATCTGTGGAAATCTCTTCCCTGGAGAGCAGTGGAAGCAGAGTCATTGAATATTTTCAAGGCTAAGTTAGATAAATTCTTGGTTGTCAAGGGACTCAAAGGATACACAGTGTGGACAGGAAGGTAGAGATGAGGATGCAATCAGATTAGTCATAATCTCAACAAATGGCTAGGTAGGCTTGAGGGGTCAAATGGCCTACCCTTGCTGCTAAATCACATGCTCATATTCGTATTTTCAGAATACAGTTTAGGCTTTGCAAAAGCATGCACCTCTCTTGCTGAAAAGGAACCTTTGGAAGAGTGCCAATACTTGCCAGTTTGCATTCCCTGCTGGATGTTGCCAGTTCTGACTTACTGAGGTACTTTATACAATACTTTATTATTTACATTGGTTTGGATTTTCCAATGGCCAGGTAGTGATTTCTGCAGTGTAGGTGGGAGTTGTGCATTGCAACCCTGTGGAATCCCAGACATTGCAGACTCCAAGCAAACTACTGAGGAAACTGAAGATTCTGATGGGAAACACTGCTGCACCTAGAACTCTGCAAAAGTATCTATTTAAATTGGAGCATTCAGAGGGTTCCACTGTAAATAACTAATTTACCCAGGAAACGTTAGACAATTAAAAACAAATTTAAAATTACTGGGCATGTATAAATTTCACCCCCAACTTACTGCACAAATCCCCAGTTCACTTCCCCTCCAGTCCTTCAAAGCCTCAGACCCTGACCTCAGAACTCTACCTTCATCACCCCTCACCTCTGGGACCCGACAAACCCCAGCGCCCTGCTGGAGCCAATACACATCTTTCCACTGGTAATCTTACCCTGCCACAGGAACCAAACAATCCCACGCCGGCCCCAGGGCTCAACATCCCCTCCTCTCCAGGACCTGACATCACTCCTCTCACTGGGACCCAACAAACCCACACTCCACAGGGACCTGACAGCCCTGCCTCACCCTGTCACTAGTCCAACCACCACCCTCACTGCTCCATCCGCCACCACCATCATCCCTCCCCACCCCCACGCTGGACACGACACTCTTATTTCCCCACCAGACCCGATAGCTCCTACCAATCCCAATCTACACTAAACACTCAATCACTTAACTGGTACTCTATTGACCTGGCAGCCTACTGATCAAGTACCATGGCACTCTAGCCTCACACTTAGCTTAAATACACATGCCTTCACAGCATCTGTCAAAGTGTCTGTGCTGCTGGACATTTAAGTTGCAGAATACAGCAACTATTAACTAATGTGAAAAAGGGAGTCTGGTTTGCCTTCCGCTTCACTCTAAGGTCTCAACTGGATTAGAGGTACACTCCACATTTCTGCAGGAGCTATGAATGGTATTTTCTGCCAGAAATGTGGATCTTTCTCCAAACTTAAAGCAGTAGGAATTAGTGACAATTTGACCATAATTGTCATTGCTCAGAAGATAACAGTACAGCAGCTCAACTGCACTCTGGGCATTATATCCCTACATTTGGATTAGTAAACCACATATTTAGTCTTGTGTAAAATATTTCTGTAGATATTCCTTTTCCATGTTGCAAAGGAACATAACCAAACCAGTACCAGCAGTATTAGGACAATATCAGTAACATAGTTCACAAATATGCTGCAATGATTCTCATACATTGCTGCAAAATATTTGCATTGTTATTTTAAATGCTTCCATGAGAACTGCTTGTGGAAATAGAAATTGTATTCTGAAAAGAGCTGTGTAATATATTACTATGGATATGGGATTATCTAAAAGGAAACAGAAGTTGAGATAAATGGGTTAATTTAAGGTTGGTTAACAATAACTAATTGAGTGCGTTCAGTGCTGTCCTCAACAATTTACAATCTATGTTGTTGGCTTGGATGGAGGGATCGAGAGAACTGTAGTAAATTTGCTGACCATTCAAACATAAATAGGTAAGCAAATTGTTTGCAGGCCACAGGGTCTGCAAAGGGATAAGGATAAGTCAAGTGAGTGGGGACACAGTTTGGCAGATGGAGTACAATGTGGGATAATGGAAGATCGTCCACTTAGACAGCAAAAACTAGAAAGCCAGAATATTATTTATTTGGAGAGAGACTGCAGAATGTTGCAGTACAGAGGGATCTGAATGTACTCGTACATGAATCTCAAAAAACATTAGCATGCAGATACAGCAAATAATTGGGAAAGTAGATAATAAGGTGACTTTATATGGTGTTGATCAGCAGGGGTGACAAGCAATGGCAGGTGACTTTCAGGTCCGCCCCCTTCATGATCATGCTTCCTGAAAACAAAGGACTCCTATAACAGAAGCTCACAAATAAACATAACAGAGCTTGGTTTTTTGGACTCCTGCAGGCTGAATACCCAACTTCCTTTGGTTCAATACAAGGTGAGATGATGGTTTTTCATTGCCCACTTAAAAACCTTACCTGGCATTGAGCTAGGAAGACAGCCCCTGAGCTATCCTGTCCTAGATTTAATCAAGGAAGAGGCAAGAGAGCATCAGGATTCCCAACCCACTTCTTCTAACCCAATTAACTCACATCCACCTCAAGAGCTGGCATTAAATTCTGCCTAATGTTTATCCTGTGGGGGAATCTAGAACTAGTGGCACAATTTTAAAAATAATGGGTCTCCCATTTAAGACAGAGTTGAGGATTGAAGTTCTTCTGTCAGATGATCATATGTCGTTGGAATTCCCTTCCCCAAGAGTAGAGGAGTTTGAATCATTGAATATATTCATGCTGAATTAGTCAGATTTGTGATGTGAATGAGAGTTGAGATTTATGGGGACTGGCAAGAAAGTGGAGTTAAGGTCACAATCAGAGTAGCCATTAACTTATTGAGTGGTAGAACTTCAGTGGTGTGTAAGTTGTTGGAAGTGATTCTGAAAGATAGGTTTTTATGCATTTGAAGAGGCAGAAATGATTAAGGATAGTCAGCATGGTTTTATGTGAAGGAAATCATGTCTCACAAACTTGATTGAGTTTTTCAGGAAACAACCAAGAAGACTGATGAGGGCAGAGCGGTAGACATTGTTTACTTGGACTTTAGTAAAGCCTTTGACAAGGTTCTGCATGGTACACTAATTAGTAAAGTTAATCACATGTGATTCAGGGTGAGCTTGCCAATTGGTTACAAAATTGGTACTGGCACGACATGGACAGTGATGGTAGAGGGCTGTTTTTGGGACTGGAGGCCAGTTACCAGTGGTGTTTCACAGGCATCTGTGCTGGGTTCACTTCTGTTTGTCATTTTAAAAAATGATTTTGACGAGAATACAGAAAGCATGGATAGTAAGTTTGCGGATGACACATTAGTGGTATAGTGGACAGTGAAGAAGATTATCTAAGTTTATAAAGAGATCTTGATCAGTTGGGTCAATGGGGTGAAGAGAGCCAGATAAATTTTAATTTGGATAAATGTGGGGTATTACATTTTGGTAAAACAAACAAAGACAAAACTTACACAATTCAAAGTAGGACTCACAGAGTCGTACAGCAGGGAAACAGACCCTTCAGTCCAACCAGGCCATGCCAAACATAATCCCACACTCAGCTAGTCCCACCTGGCTGTTCCTGGCCCATATCCCTCCAAACCTTTCCTATTCATGTACTTATCCAAAGGGTTGTAGAACAGAGAGACCTAGGGGTTCAGGTACATAATTCTTTGAAGTTTGCATCACATATGGTTGGTTAAGGATGGTTAAGAAGGCGTTTGGCATGCTTGCCTTCATTGCTCAGACCGTTCAGTATAGGAATGGGGACGTTATGTTGTGGTTGTACGGGACATTGGTGAAGCCTCTTCTGGAGTACTGTGTCCGGTTCTGGTCTTCCTGTTACGGGAAGAATATTACTACGCTAGAGAAGGTTTCAGAAGAGATTTACCAGTCGCTGGGACTAGATGATTTGAGTTGTAAAGAGACGCTGGATAGTCTGGAACTTTTTTCATTGGAGCGTAGGAGGTTGAGAGGAGACGTTATCGGGATTTATAAAATCATTGAGCGGGTACAGATAAGTTGAATGAATGGCAGGTATCTTTTCCCTAATGTTGGGGATTTCAAGACTAGGGTCATATTTTTAAGATGAGAGGAGAAAGATTTAAAAAAGACATGAGGGGCAATTTTTTTTTTACACAGAGTGGTTTGTGTGTGGAATGAACTTCCAGAGGAAGTGATGGATGCAGGTACAGTTAGAACATTTAAAAGGCATTTAGATTAGTACATGAATAAGAAATATTTGGAGGGATATGGGCCAGCGCAGGCAGGTGGGAGTAGTTTAGTTTGGGAGTATGGTCGGCATGGACTGGTTGGACCAAAGGGCCTGTTTCTGTGCTGTATAACTGTATGACTCTATAACTGTATGACAGGCTCAAAGGTATGAATAGAAGACTCCTGCTCCTATATTTAATGTTCATAAGTGGTACAACAGTGCAATGTTGGAGCGCCATCACAAAATTGTTTCAACCCATTTACTGGACTTCAAAAATATTGTTTCAATTAATTTTGTTTTAGTTAAGAAGCCAGTGTGCTGTACTTACGAAGGAAAAATGGTCTATAACACTTGGCAAGTATCCCAAATATTGAAGTAACTGCTACTTAACAACATAAGAAATGGGAGAAGGAATAGCTATTTAGCCCCTTAAGCCTGCACCAAACAGTTGGTCACTGTAGGCTTTTTGAATGATGAGTTATCTGGTTAGTACATAGGTCTCCCCACTTCTACCAACTGCAAATGACACCCAATCAAGGCATTGTAAGTGCTCTGATTTACTATTTTTATTACTACAAATAAGGCCTGTTTGAAATGTGCAGCATTAAGAGACTAGTTGTACCTTTGTGAGAGAGGGGAATCCTCACTTCATTAGCTTTTCACAGGTTGGAAATGCTTTGGTAAAAATTCTGCCCCATTATCAAAAATAGATTGATAAAAGATCTGGGTCATTGTGATTCTGATTATTTCAAGCATTTATAAACTTTCTTATGTCTTTTGTGAAACTGACATTTATCAGATATATAAATTGTCTATAAAAAACAAAGATTGTTGGTTATAGAAGCAATGTGAGAAATAATATTTCTGACAGCACAAAAAAAACCTAAGAACTGCAGATGCTCGAAATTGGAAACACAAACAGAAATTGCTGAAAAATCTCAGCAGATCTGGCATCTGGCAGCATGCTGCCAGACCTGCGTGTTTTTTGTTTCAGCAATTGCGGTTTGTATTTCTGATATCACACTGTGGTGAGAGTGAACTAAGCGATTACCAGCTTTGTACCTTTTTTGATTCATTGGTGCAATCTGATTCCATTCATTTTTGCAAGGATTGTAGCAATGTGCAGCCGAGATCTCCTGACTAGTCATTCTGTATCCACCAACGATGAAAAGGTAATTATTCAGCACTATGGAACCATAGCCTCTCACATTCACCATGTCATGAGGGAGGCTGTTTGCCAGGGGTAGCCATCTCTGTCCAACCTCATCATATCTCAGCATTGACCAAGCCTCATCAGGAGACTGATCCAAGGAGGTGCTAAAGAAATCCCCTACTGCCACCAAGACAGCTGTGCCTTTAAGGCGCATCTCCCTGACTTGTTGACGCAAAGTGTTGGGTAGATGGCTAAATTCCTGCCTCCTCAGCATTGGGTGGTAGTGACACACCATGAACTTGAGGCAGGCCTTTCTCAGATCAGCGATTCCATAAATTTCAGAAAGTTTATATAACTCCACGCAGTTATCCACCTTAACCTCAGAAAGGAGCAGCTTCAAGATGGAAGACACCTGGAGAAAAGATGCTGTTTCCACTAAATCTTCCAAGATCTCGTTATCAAAATGTACTTTGGAAGTGTTGATGAATTCAATGACTAGCTCCAGTCCATGCGCACTCAAGCCTTGCAGTTGCACCGAATCTTCTTCAGATTCCTTCATCCCGGAGTTATACAGGGCTTTAAAATAATCGCTTTTCTCAATTAACTTACTCTTACTGACATTGTACGTCTTATCGTCTATTATGATAGCTATGATTTCTTCGGAGGACATCGTATCAGCAGATGAGGACTGAATGAATACCCGTCTGTGCAATTGTTTTCTTTCAGCGGGCAGGTTCCGCTTTTATTTATATTTATTCGGATCTGCACGCGGGCCTACATCAGACAAAGCACCCGTTTCAGTTGATTTATTAACATTGCCGTGTCCAGTGTAATATAACAGCAGGACCTTGTTGCACACAGTGCATGCAATCACTAAATGCTTACTCGGTTTCTATGCATATTCGGTTGAAGTTTCAGAACCTGCTCGCTTGTTTCTTTAATCTCGTTTCCCTTGTCATTTTTGTATCGTCACTTCTTGTTCCGTTTACAACGGCCAATCTCCGACTGTAAAAGGCAACAACCGGCACATTCTGCTCTTCTCGTATCTTACCTTTAAAAGGCACTCAACTCACTCTGACTGCGCATGAAATATTGCACGGAGTTACATGTATCATTTGTGACAGTCTGGCAACGGTGTATTTAAAAACAAAAGCAGTAGTATATTATTGTTCCGATTGTTTTTACAAATGTTGTACCGCGTCCTTTTTCATAATGCGATGGGATTTTTAAACAGAGTCGACCAACTTATAAAATAAAAATCCAGCTGTTTTAAAGATAAATAAATAATTATATACACTTTATTTGAATTTAAACAAAAAACACTCAGTAGGTACCTATAGACAACAGAAATCCTGAGGATCGTATTATAACTTTGCAGTATCATAAATGGAACTGATCGCCTGGTCAAGATCACATGTTGAGCACTGCATTCGGTACTGGCCACCGTGTACAAAGAAAACATTACGAAGTTTCGACAGTACAAAGCCAAGCCATTAGTTTAAGAGAACAGAGTCAGGAATGACTTTTTCCATTATGTAAATCACAATACTTTGTAATAAAGGAGGTAAGTGAGCATTGACTTTATGTACAAGAGCGAGTACAGAACCTGTGTTATATCTAGCCTTTCACCTCTCAAGGCTTCTCATAAATAATGGTAAAATTTGAAATGTAACCACGGTAATGAGGCAATTTAAACAGCGCAAGGTCCCACAAATAAGTGTTATTTGGTGCTGGCGGTTGAGGGATGACATTTCGCTACAGAATCTTCTACATCTACTTAATAGCAAGCAAACGGACCCTCGTTTAATGTCTCATCTGAAATATGACACCTCAGTAATGTTACTGCTACACCAAATGTCAGTTGGAAAGACATACTCAAGTCGTGGAGTTGATAAAAAGAATATTTATACAGTTATACAGAGAACAGAAGTTTGCAAAAAGCAGCAGGGATACAGAAACAAAATATTGCAGATATTGGAATTCTTAAATAAAACAGAAATTGCTGGAAATACTCAACAGGTCAGGTGAATATGTGGAGAGAGAAGAAGAGTCAATCTTTCAGTTCAATGACCGTTTATCTCTGTACATTAAATGGAACAAAGAACATACTCTTCCAATTAATAAGACCATGGTTGATCCTGAACTGCAAATCGCCTAATCCTGTTCCTACTTCCTTTCAGATCTCCAGTATTCAGAGTATTTTGCTTTTGATCCTGTATACCTTGATTCTCTTGGAGTACAAATATCTATTAATCTGATGACTGAGCATCCACAGCCCTCTGGTACATAGAATTCCAAATATCCTTCTGAGTGAAAATCTTTTTTTCTCAGTCCAAAATATGATTTCCTTAGATTATGTTCTTTGGTTCAGGAATTTCTAGCCAGGTGAAGCAACTTGTCAACATCCGTTGGCCTTGTCAAGTCCTCTCCACGATCATACATGTTTGAATAATATCACCTCAATCTTCTAAACTCCTGAGAGTAGACACACTCAATATCTCCTTCTAAGACAATCTTCTCAGTCCAGGTTATTAACCTAGTGAATGTTTGCTAAAATCCTTCTCAAGCAAGTATATCCCTCCTTAGGTATGGAATGACCAAAGTTATTCACAACAATCTACAATGGCGTCTCTGTGTAATTAAATCAAGATTTTCTTACGCAAATACTGCAATCCCCTTACGATAAAGGCTAACTCACCTTCCCAGCTGGTTCCTGCAACTGCACATAAACTTTCTATTTGTCTTGTACATGAAAGACAAATCTCTTTGAACATAAACATTTAATGGGTTTTTTTCACCTGTTAAAAGATAATCAACAATTGTATTTTTCTTACCAAAATGAATAACCTCACATTTCCCTACACTATAATCCATCTTCCACCTTTCTGCCGATTAGCGTAACCAATATGTGTCCATTTGTATATTCATATGGCCTCCTCATAGCATACTTTCTCACATGGCTTTCTATCATCAGTAGTTTTGATACGTTATGTTTGGTCCCTTCATGCAAGACATTATTATTTGTATAGTAATAAGTTGGAGCACTGCACTGATCCTTGTGGCACTCCACTAGTTAAACATAGCCAGCCCCAAAATGATCTACTTATTCCTATTCTTTGTTTTCTTTCATTTAAGGTCATGCTATTATACTTTGCCCACCCCAATGAGCCCTTATCTCATGCTATCATCTTACACATGCCACTTTCAAAAAACCTGTTTGAAAATCCAAGTATAGCACTCAATTTCCTATTCTATGTTACTGGCAGAGGCCAAAGAGATAGCTCAATTTTTCCAATACTTAACCAAAAGCAATTACATTGTTAGAAAGGTACGATATTTTAATTTTTTTGTTATATGGGCATAATTGATCTCTTCAATTGGCTGTTGTACATAAAAAGTCTGCCATCTTAAAATAAATTTCTTCCATGTAATTTCATACCTTTTTTCAAATTTTGCCAGAATTAGTTTGCTGTATTCAAATTCAAAGAACAAATTCAAGGGGACAAGGACATTTCAAACTTAAATTTGCCAGGTAAGCAACATAAATTCATCATTATACTTAAAGGACAAGATGATATGTCAGGTCTTAAATTATCCCCTTTCTGAGTTTATTACTGTTATTTTATTGTTTGATCTTGAGACTATCTAGTTATCCGAACACCAGAAAATATAACCTAAAATCCTAGATAAACTTCCTTTAATTCCTTTGACAAATAGCTTCCCAAGTTTAAAACTGAAGCTATCACTTTGAGAAAATTACGGTGAAAGTAATCCATGACATTATTCATTTCTGAAAATTAAGTTGTAGTGAGATGATCAAGTGTGAAGAGAGGCTGGACCAGTGAGAATTATATTCACTGGCATTTAGAAGAATGAGGGGGATCTGGTAGAAGTCTATAACATTCTAATACAACTAGACATAATAAACGCAAGAAGGATGTTCTGGAGAACCACAAGTCACAGTCTAAGGAAACAGTGCAGGCTATTTAGGACTGAAATGAGGAGAATTTCTTCACCCAGAAAGTGGTGAACCTGTGGAATTCTCTGCCACAGAAAGCTGTTAAGGCCAAAACATTGAGTGCTTCCAAGAAGGAGACAGCTAATAGCATCAAAGGTTATGAGGAGAAAACGGGAACAAGGTACTGAGTTAGATGATCAGCCATGATCATATTGAATGGTGGAGCAGTCTCAAAGGGCTGAATGGCATATACCTGCTCCTATTGTCTATGTATCTTGTGTTTCTATTAGAGACATACTGCATGATCTTTTGGAAACTTCAGCAATTATTATAGAATTCAACTATGGCTTTTGAAAACAGAGGTACTGTTTCACCAATTTAATCAGGGCTTTTTTTGAAGAGCTCAGAATTGGATGACAATGCTGTCATGGATCACAAGCACAGAAGGAAGCTTTCTGGCCCATTGTCATCTGTGTTAACTACTTGAAAGAGTTATGAAGTTAGTCATACTTGCCCTTTTCCCCATGCCCTGGAATGTTTTCACAAATATACAAGCAATTCCCTTTGTAATGTGATATAAATCTGCTGCTACCACTCTTTCTGGCAATGTATTCCAGGACAGAATTGTTTAGAGGATGAGGCAAAACTTCTTGACAAAACTGAGAATGCTCTCCTCAGAGAAGAGAAAGTTGGGAGAAAATATGACAGAGATCTTCACAATTACGAGAGCTGCAATCACAATTGACAGGGAGAAACTGTTCTCCTTGGCAAAAGCATTGAGAAACAGCAGGCATTGATACAAGTTGATTGGTAAGAGAGCCAATGGGACCCTGAGGAAAATAAATTATTTATTCAGCCAGTGGGTGAGATCTGTAATGCAAAGGCAGATTCAACCATGGCTTTCTAAAAGAAATTGAAGAAGCACCCAAAGAGAAAATGTTTTTCTGGTTTATGATAATATTAAAATTCTCTTTTCAAGATACTTTGATTTCCAATCTCGGATTCCTATCTCGGATTTTCTTGTTGATTAATGAGAGCTAATTTAAATACTATGACTGAATAACTGGAAATTAAATGTAAAAATGTTATTATGAAATGCCTGCTTGTGATATGCCCTAGTTAAAAGTAGCTGAGAGCTGATATGGTACAAAACTATTGTCTGGATCTTCAGTCATCTAATGTTCTATTTACCCTGAATAGACCCAATACAATTAAAAGTGATCAAATAATCAAAACATAAACATGAGCAGAAATTTAAATGGAGTGTAAAAGCAGAATGTAAATGTGAAACCAAAATATTACAACTTGGTAGGATTTCAGAGATCCAAATAAAGGGACAGAAAAGCAGTAGTACCTTGAAATCATACAATATAGCTGAATAGCAAGGCCACCATTTTGTTTTGCTTTGACCAGGTGCTAGCATTGAAATATTGACACGCTCATAAGGGTCCGAGAGTAGATAAGCTAGTGACTTCAGGAATTATGAGATATTTAACTGACCTGAGTGAACAGATGAGTATGAGACAATATTTTGTAAATGGGCAGCTCAAATAACAGAGGAATGATTGGTTAGTCGTTATCCATCCCTTTTGTTGGCTAACAAGAATGTAAGAAAGAATGCCCTTATAACTTGAGGTTTAGGGGCATTTCGCCAAGGTTTGGGAACTATCTGCTGATGTTGCCTCACTGAAGGACAGGCAGAGGAGGGATCACACATGTACATGATAAGTGTAGTGGTGCTGGGCCAATGGTTCCACACAGCACACAACAGCATTGTTGTTATATTTTCGTACTGGTATCCAAACATTAGCATGTACCTCAAGTCCTGCTTGTACTGAACAAAATACAACTATTTGGGAAATCGCATAGATGTCTGAGATTTGTATCAGAATCTGAAGAGGCCGATCTCGATGTCAAGAGCATCTTACAGTCAGAGTCATAGAGGTCTGCAGCACAGGAAAAGGCTGTTCAGCCCATTGAGTCTGTACCTGTCAAAAAACAACCATACAACTATCTAACAGAAATTGTTAGAGGAACAGTCACCAGACCCGAAACATTAACTCTGATTTTTGTTCACA